CCTAGAATGACTCCCTCCAAAACAATGATAATTTGGATGTATATATTACTTAAAAATAAGGGTTTGAGTTATACAAAATTAAGCAATTCAACTGAGTCTTCTTTGCTAAGTCAGCCAGTCACTCCACATGTTGAAGTTTTAAAGGAATATCATCAGAAGCACTACTGTGTTTTACTGCCCTGTCTTAAAATGTCCCTTTTGTAGAAGATAAGAGATGGTGTCATTTTGAAATGGAAATGCTTGCTCAGCCAGGCATCAGAGCAATGCAGCTTCAAGTAAAATTGTACTTGCAAAAGCTTTGACCCAAGTACTTTCAGCATCTTTTTATTCACGTGTTTTCTGTTACTGAAAGGAAATTGATGCATTTTCCCATCTTATTTTCTGTACAAAAATCAAAATATGCTGAATAGCTTTACTCACGATGAACATGTATAGTACCTGCCTTTGATATTCATCTTTATAACTATATCTTTCAGGAAGATTCTCGTATGTTCTCATTCTATATTTTTTTCGAATTGATGAGTTTGAGCTTAAAAGTGAAAAAAACCCCAACCAAACCCAAATCAAAAGCAACACACCAAAAAGGAGGGTATTTTTCTCTAGCCAGACATATTTCATCATAGTAAAAGATGAATCAAGATGCATCACAGATTTCCTTGTCACTTTCTTCTGATGACTAGGTAGGTTTCTTATACAAGCTGGGGTGCTTAGTTAATAGTCTGACAGTGGAAAAGGAGCACAGGAAGGAAGAATAGCTGCTGCGCATCTGCACATCTGTGCCGGTTTGCTTAAGCAGCTGACCCCTCTAGTAAGTAATGTGGATATTGGAATTGCCAGTGCACAGTTTTCCATAGATTTTTTTCTAGGCTTGTGAGTCTTTAATATATATATACACTATCATTATCTTCTTTAAAGAATTAAAAAGATGTACCACAATAAAGGCAAAGCCAGCGCTCAGGTCTGTCTTCACTGGAATTGAGTGAAAAGACTTAGAGCAAATTCAGGGACTGTATTTTTGGAAGCAGCCTATGTGCAGGCACGCTGAGGGAGGCTATTTTTAATAACCTAAAGCCCACTAACCTTTTGTAATAAAATCCTGTTCAGCTTCTCCTATCCCTGACCTTGTTTTGCTCAAAAGCATAGGAAATAATTAAGAAGGAAAATGTCTTTCATCTTCAGAGGAACTGGGATGATGGCCATAAAAGGAGAAGAGTGGGTGGCAGTTTGGTAGAAGTTCTGATAGGATATGGATTTTCAATATGCACAGTTCTCCATGTCAGCAAAAACAAGTCATTACAGTTTTCTGTGACATTCATAACTAATTTAATGGAAGTCCTGATATAATATGCTATTTAAGCCATACCCATTTTGTAATTGAAGCCTCAGTTCAAATGGTGACTGTGGCAATCAATTTTTATTTCCAAAATGGGCTTTTTGACTTCGTACTGTGTTGCAAAGTCATTTACTCCTATAAATATGCATTTCATAAAGAGGTGATTGGGGATTATTAAAAACTCAAATAAAACTATGAAAAAAGAAAAATATTTGCTATAACTGGGTCATCCATTATTATATTTTTTCCTCCCAAAGGGTATGTATATTTTTGAAAGCTTTTTGGTTGTGATTTATCACACAAAGTATTTCGAGTATAAGGCAAAGCATCTAAACTTTTCTATCGAACGTGAAATGGCCACGCTGTGCTTTTGTGCCTTCATGTCCATGGGGCATCTGTGACACCTGAAAGAACATTATACATGCCAGGGAGGTCCCAGAAACTACATAATACTTCAGTATAGAGAGGATTTGCCCTGGTGGCTTCCTTATAAAGTACTTCTTTTCATGATTCTTTCTTTCCAAATGCAGAGAGAGCTTTTATCTCTGAAGCTCATTTGCAGATTTATTTTGCAATTTTTGTTAGGTATAGTTTCACGTTTAGAGTTCCAGTCTTCTTGCACCTTTTAGTTATTTAATTATAAAAGCAGTATCTACCCAGGGAAACAAATGTGTGTGTGAAATTAGAAAGATGCCAAAAACTTATTTGATTTTAATGGCTGCACTGTCCACATTCACTCTTGCAGATTCATCATTTTCTTCTTGAAAGTCATGTAATTAAAAGGTTGTTGCTGTTGGAATCCAAAATGTTTGTGTCACCCTGTCCTCTATGAATAAAGTTCAGGAGCTGACAGGAGATAAGATAAAAGTCAATAAAAAGAGAATAATTTATTAAAAAGATCTAATGTTACAAGAACAGTACACAGGAACTATTATATTACTGTGTCTTCCACATCGTATATACCATTATATATAGCATATATACAGATAGTATACAGTATATCTAACATTTTGATATGGGCCATAACAGTATCTTTCTTTTGGTCTGCAAAACAAAGTTTCTTTCTGATTATTTTTTTCCAAACAGGTTTTGTGGCATTATACAAAAATACAGTCTCCTCAATGACGCTGGACTGCACTATTACAATCTTTTACATGAAAAAAGAAAGAGCTCTCCATTGCAACTAAAAAATAGTATGTCATGATAAGGGAACACCTTTTTCTACAAAGTAACAAATAGGTAATACATAGGTACTTAAACATTTAAAACATGTTTATTAATATATTTAAGATGCAAAATACATATTCTGTTCATGTCGAGTATAAAACATACCCCTTTTTGTCCCTGCAATACCACTACGTTACCTGACGGTATGTTCAGCATTTCTATCTGTATCTTGACACTAGAGAATGAGATGTAACTAGATGCAGCTCTGTCTTCTCATCAGGCTTTCATTCTTCTCATAAAGCATAGCCATTTATTGTATTCAGAAAGTTGTTTGACCAGAACGTCACCAGAAGTGACTGTAGCTTTTTTGAATACTCTGAAATAAATTGCATTGGTAAACAACTGTATAAAAAATAGAGGAGATTATGCTTAACTAATTTATAAAATAGCCATTTTGCTTTTTGGTTCATCGCTTTTTTTCTTGTTTATTTTAACCTTTTGAAAAACGATGATTTGCTAATGCAAGTTCTCTGCACAGTAGCAATGCTGCTGTTTTACAAACAACACCATGTACTTATTTTCTGTGAGTTTGCTCTATCAACAAGATATATTCCACCTTCCTTTCTTTGATCTCAAAGGCTTTTCCCGAAGCAGAGACACAGAATGTCTCCTTCTGTCTGTATCTACAGTCTGTGCTCAGCTAGCTATCTTGCCTTGGTTTTCCCAGAATCATGGTGACTAAGTAAATTTAAAACCTATTTTTTAGAAAATTATTTAAAATATTTGTGGGTAATAAAGATTTGAGTTGATCTATCTCTGAAAAATTTTACTGGTAAAATATCCAAAAGAAAAAAAATCAGTCATCAGTCAGCTTTTTACCATCGAGCACCTGATCTGTGTAGTGCTTTTTTGGCTATTATTTTAAAGCTTCTAAGAAAGGGTACAGTTAGAGTGTACTAGCTAAATGCCAAATATTTTGCTAGTGAGCTGGCAAAATAACAACACTTTAGACCCAGCACCCATCAACCAAAATAGATTTACATCAAAACTTTTAGAGGGATGGGCAGCTAGAAGAACTATTCTATTAGAACTTGCCTGTTAAACTATTTTGATTTGATTTTTCCCAGTCAAGGGAATGTTCATCATAGGCGTGATCCCTAGACACATGGTAGTAAAACACCCTTCCTCATAACACCATGCACACCATAATTGTACAAACACGCACACCATATACACTGGGGATCATTTTGATTCAGGTGCCAATACGCACAAAGGCCTTCCAATGTAGAAAAACTGTCCAAATTATCTATTGAATGTTTGAATGAATGTTTGCTACAGCAAAAAGTGGGAAATAAAACTGATAGCATACAGTCCCTACAAGAATAATCTCTCATGAGCTATAGAATTAGCTAAATAACTGGCATGATTCTCAGTAGCACTTATCCAAGTACTTTTTTTCAGACACAGCATTCTCCAAAATATATCCTACTGCAGTCTGTATGTATGTGAATGATTACATTCCAAAAAATGTTAATATTCTCTCCATAATATACTTCCATATATACGTCAACTTCATTACCAAATATATAAAGCACAGAATGTTACAGAGGAAAAAAAAATTACAACTGAGAAGTGGTTGCAAAAAGTAGGTTTATCTCCTGGCATTGCTGTATTTGTCCAATTAGCAGCCTGATGTAGATCACATTTAAATGGCCAGTGGAATTTTCATTGTCATATGCATGAGGAACTGATTTTTTGTTTGATATTGAAAATAAATATTTCACTCATTTGACATTAAATCATGTGGTATTTGATGAAAAACAACCTTGTTTCCTTTTAAATTTGTGTTTAATCCTTTTCCTTTTACCTTGCAATAAAATAGCTTATTTTCGGCTCCATTTCGCCACTTTCTGAGTGTGCTGTCTGGTATTATATTGACAATTCTTTTTGCTGATTAAATACATATTCATACATTTTTCAGAACAAATCCTCTGTACTTTTGCAGTGGGCTGTGCCTCTAAACTATATTTTTTTCTCTTGTCTGTTGGAATAACCAGCCATAGGGAATGCAAGAAAAGTATTGGACAAAGCTGTATCAAACTTTGCTCTATATTTAAAAAAGATTTTTTTTTCCAAACCAAATAGATGTACTGTACTAGACACCACTGTTTAAACACCTAATGATACATGACTGGGGTCACCAAAATCAAACATATTAAAAAAGTAAAGTACATTTGACAGAAATTACATTTCCTTACAAAAGTTTATTACATACAATCTGCATATTTTTGGGCCAAGAACTGTCCCCTCCTTAGAGGACTTTTACAAAAAATGAAGAGAAAAAAACCTGATGTATTATTGATCGTGTCTCCAACTCTCCTCTAAGTGCAACACAGGCATATCTAAGGGTCTTTAAGCATTAGCTTGGGTTTCCAGTTTCTCCATTCCTTGGTGTCATCAAGCTAAAGCAAACAAATAACAACGACGAAGTCTGCAGTCTTCACCATGAGGTTGAAGGAACCATCAGTGCCAAAAGCAACGTTACAGAGGATGAGGAAGTGGACAACATATGTAAGGTGGATTGAGCACTTGTTACTTTCCCTCCTGAAAAGAAGAGCAAAGCAATTAAGGAACAAATGGTGCAAACAGTTCTCAGTACATTTAGGTACTAGATTTGGCCCCAAACGTGTATTCTATTATGCTCAGCAAAAGTCTAACTTGTAGGCAACAGATTACCTTGTGAGAACTGCAATTGCAAAATAGGGTCCCTACACAGACATGAGGAAACTGCGAATTTTATGATGATATCTACAGAAACTCACATGCTGTATCCTCATATTCAGTTTGCAAATGGATAGGAAATATGATTTTATGCCTTAATACTCGAAAAGAATTAGGCTCTAGAACATGCCCTGGGTCACAGTCACTAATGTTCTCCCCAAAACAAGGAATGAAAACTAGCCCTTGATCTTGATGTTTGTCCAGAGGAAAAAGTTTTTTTCCCAGTAGCCCAGTGATGTTTTTAGATCACAGCAGAGCCCTTAAAAAGCCATGCTAAAGAGAACTATGCTATGGGCTGGCAGTGGCAACAGATTGCAGGATGGGATGGGAACCAGACTGGGCTTCTTTGGACCACAGTTGTCCTAAGTGGAACTGATCTGTTGTGTATAGTCTAATAAAAAAAATCAGGTTAGAGAGAATGAAAGATTTTGTGGTCTAGTGATATGGTTCAAAAGATACATGAAACAAATATTCCATGGAGCATGGTTTGGTGTCTTCTGCATTCTGATGATAATCACTTGTAGTGACAAGATTAGAGATGAAATTTTAGGTCTAGACTGAAGTTTCAGGCTCACACCTTTTGATAGTACTCCCTAAGGACTAAAAAGCAATGGTTGGTAGAGTTTTAAAGTGTTAGCAGAAAGTTAGAATTAAGATGCCTCACTGTGTTTAGGCAAAAGACAATGTTATTTTCTAGTTGTTCTTGCCACTAAGCCTTCCATCCCTTTCTTACCTGTCTAATATTGATACTTTAAATTCTTTCAACATATTATAGTAAGTGAGGAAACAGAAGCTAGATGTCATAATTTACTTTATGATAATACATTAATACTGTATTGCATTAAGAATTTAATAAAGTAATATCTACTCAAGGGAGTCAATGGAACCTGCAGAGAAATTCATCTTATTCTAAAGCAGGCACATACCCAGGGTTCAGCTACTTAAATGCATGCCATTTTAGCAGTGTTAGATCATACAACTCTGGCTGGTGGTCCAGAATGATGTGTGTATCCTCTAAGTCCTGCATCATATCTGCCAGCTCTGAGCAAATGTTTGGGATACCCAAAGACATCTCAGATGTCCTTATGTGCCTTAGTCTGAATATTTACATTCAGAAGATCAGCTGAATTTCTGTCTAGGGTCCACTCTCAGTCTCTATGGATTACGTATCAGCTGACTATAGTGCTATTTAAGACACCTAGTGCATGTGTAGCCATCTAGAGCTCAGTTAAGTTTCCAGATGTTGTCCTAGAAAGGGAGAGGTTTCCTGTAAATCCTCTGTTTTGTTCATCAGCCCACAAGGATGCCTCAGATGCTCTTGAGCATCTCAATTGGCACTAGATACCTCTGCTTCATCATAGAACTGAAGAATCTGATTAACAATTGTATCTAACAGAGAATTGTGAGAACATTTTTTCAGATAGAGAATAATAGAGCTAATGAGCACTGCTATAATCACCGCTATTCAATATAAGTGTAACCTTACCTGAAAAAGATGGAACTCTGATCTGGGGACTCGTAGTCCCATCCCCTCCTTCACTGACTGCACAGACCTCAATGATGTAGACACCAACATCAGGAAGAAGTACGACCGCAGAGGTTTTCTGTGTTTCTATAACTTGACTGTTGCTCTGGCCTTCTTGCCTAAATAATACCTATGGTCAATAAAGTAGATAGTGGTCATAGTGGTCATTCAAGTTATATATCAGACATTTTGTGTAGATAATGCAGTCACTGAAATGTTAACTCTTTCATGCTTTCGTTAAGGATTTCTTGACATTACATCTGAACAGTCATCTGCTTTTACTCTCCCCTCCCCCCAATGACTTCAAAACATTAATAGCAAAATATATTAACAATTAATGAATGTGAAAGGACATTGATTACAATCCAGACAGAAGATATAGCATTTGCCCACTCCAGCATTAAGTGTTACACAATTTTTTATCCAAACTTTTTTCTAAATGTCTTTTAGGTTCCATTTGATTCAAATTCTTATCCCAAAATTCATGTAGATATTCACATTTTTGCCTCAAGAACCCAACTTCAAGTGTAGAGAAAATGCCCTGAATATTGTCCTCAGTGTGTTTACCTGAGCTGGCTAAATCAACTGAGAATAGCTCAGATCTGTCCCTGCATCTCCTGTGAAACTCAGTACAAGCTTACGGCACATGGGAGGAAAGCAAGTGAGTACATAGTTGTCTTTTTGGTACTTCTGAGTAAGTTTCTGTTCCCAGAAAAAATTGAAAATGTCAGAGAGGTGTAAAAAAAGCAAAGTAGTCAACTGAACTTTCTCAGAATCTCAGCTCTTCTGATAAAGGTTAGAGCAGCTTCTGGTTTATTTCAAATATTTTACACTTCCTTGGTGATATTTCCTGATGTATCAGAGGGAATATCACGTTGCAGTCTACAGAAACGATTATATATGTATGTATGTGCTTAAAAGAACCCCAACAACCACAACTCTTTAAAAACATTGAAATAATTCTGTTTTGATTTAGAAGATTGCAGTGAATTCCACTGCTTTTTATGACTTTCTATTTAAGAGTTAATCTTAAAAGTTAAGAGATTTTACTCTTTAAAACTTCAAAACTTTAAATGCCAGATGTTATCATCACTGATTGTTGAACACCACCAACATGATCACAAACCAAACCGAAGTATTTGTTTCTGCTCCGTAAAAATATTAATTTTCATGTCTTTTCAAGATGCCTCATTCTTCTGCATTTCTCTAAATCCTACTGAAAACATAGTTAAATTGAAGTGTTAGTAGGAATTTCATTGCAGGCTGGTCTTATTAATAGGCATTTCTGAGTCAGATGTGATGAACTGATCTCCTCAGATAGAGCTTACTCACTTTATAATCAGTAGTTGAAAATCACAACACACAAAATGTTGCAACATTTTGCTCTTTTCAATTTTATTTATTACTTTTCTTGGTGAAAACTGATTGCAGACAGTCTGTATAGCATACTTTACTTACACAAAAAGACAAGAAAGGGAAAAAAGCTAACAGGGCAGAGGAGTAGTCATCTGGAAGAGAGAAAGGTGAGCAAGGAAGGGGAAGCACTGACCTTGTATCCCATTACATCAGATTCATTAGCTAGAGGTCTGACTGGCTCCCACCCAAGAGACACATGAGAGCCGTCCTGTATCCACATAATATTGCTTGGTGCTTGGCTTGGAGCTGAGGAGAAAAATAACAACATATACATAAATATAGTTTCTCGGTAGTTTCCTTAAAATCAAAATAAACGTATTTCAATCTTTTGTTACTTTACAACTGGTTGTGTCAGCAGGCTCCCAAATCTAGCCAGAATTTTAAAAGGTGCTTTTTGCACAAGAATTGTAATTTAATAGATTGTGGTGTATTTACTCAGCCCACCCCATAAACTCCACAGAGATGTTGAACTTTAATTCTTTTCTGTCACTTCTTTGTCAAAAATGCCTTGTTTGCTAGGAAGATAACCTTTGTTATGAATGTAAAGTCATATGAATTCATGTATAAATATCAAAGCAAAGCCATGAATCAAAATGATACATGATTCCTGATTATTATACACCCTTATTAAAGGAAAACCCAAGAGGGCAGAGGTTGCGCCCTGACTTCTCCCTTTGAGCAAAGGTACTGAGATCACTTACGGGACTTCTTGGTTGCTGCACGCACAGCAGCGCTAGGTGGTCCATACCCTGCAGCGTTGTATGCCCTCACCGTTAGGTGATATAATGTGTTTCCTTCTAATCCTGTCAGGAGGATGGATGACTCATTTCCCTCAGTTTTGACCTTTTCTGCTGCTTCTTCCTGCTCCATATCCTTCCAGTAACCAACCTGACAAGAAGTAACCAAATGAAGGATTAATATAGGTATCTGGGAAGCTCATGCTTCCAGATGCTCATCCTTGTTATCCTGTGGAGGGTCTTTTTGCCATTTCTGCCTTTTGTCTGACCATCAAGACTTTTCAAACATGTGGGATTTGCAGCCTAACTTCAGAGCCAAGCTATACTCACTTCTCCAAAATGGTGAGACTCAGAATATCACGGTATTACCTGAAGCATGTTGAATTGCTGTGTACTGGCACAAGAACTGAAAGGGTTGTCAGGCTCTGGAATGGGCTGCCCAGAGAGGTGGTTGAGTCCTGATCCCTGGAGGTATTTAAAAGAAGGATAGATGAGGTGCTTAGGGACATGGTTTAGTGGTGGGATGGCAGGGTTAGGTTAAAGGTTGGACTCGATGATCTTAAAGGTCTTTTCCAACCAAAGTGATTCTATGACTCTAAGAAGATGTAACTACAGGACAGAAGAGCAGAGGATGAACATTGGCAGGAAGTCAGAAGTATTTCAGAGAACTCAAGGAGAACTCATCCTCTGGTAGGTCCCCAGAATGTCTACCTTCACCCTGGAAAGCTCTGACCACATCAGTCGGGATGCGTTATGAGCAATATTCCTTTCCTTGCCCTGTGCAACTCAGAGCCACGAGTTTTCTTATCAGTGTAATGAACAGGAAATGACAGAACACCGAAGGAAATCTTTCATTCATCTGAAAAATCTTATCTGAAGAAAAAGAAGGAAGTGGATTCAATATTAGTTCTTGGATATAAACAGGTTTCTGGTAAATGCAATTTTGATAGTATGTTTCTGCCCTTCCTTTTCAGACATAAATGCCTTAAATGGTCTTTGGTAGTTCTTAGTCCATATTTCTGGTGTCTGCATTGAGTTAATCATAATCTCAAAGAGGTTATAGAACTGAGCTAGGAGTTTAACTAGTCTCTTTCTTCAGGGACCAAGTATTTGCAGGGCATAACTGGAAAAAAGCAGTACTGCCTCTTTTTAATGTATCTAGGTGACCTATACAAGTAAGGTAATTCTCATGGGGCCCCATTTTCCCTAACAGGAGATGTCACTAACGTACCATTCAAAGACCTATATTCAGCTTACCGTTATTCATGCTGAGACCTACTTGCATTTATTCCACATTTTGACCTTTTCTGTGAAGTTGGCTATTTCATAATAAGTTATTCATATTATATCTGGATAACTTTTCCTCTGAGAAAAAGGTCATGGACAATACAGCATTCTTGAGCATGTATCGCAGAAAATAGCGAACCAAAAAACTAGGGGGTTCATAGGAAAATAAGGCCAATGAGTACAATGCTGACCTTTTATAATTGCTCTAGGACTTCCATTTAAAAAAAAAAAAATGCAGAAAGACCTGGCTGCAAAAATATACAACTGAAGTTGTATCTTTGCTTGAGTAAAGTGGTTCTGTTAACTTCGATCAAGGGTATATCAGTTTGTGCCAACTCAAAGTTGAACCTTTCAATTGTAAAATTCATGTAAATATCTTTTTTTGTGTGCCTGCATGGAAAGAAAAGAGAATCAAGAACCACTTATTCACACACTAGGATCCAACCTCCAAGGCTTATTATCTCTTGGGAGGTCAGATTCCTTTCTATTTTACTTGCAATGCATCTTTACAAACTTTACACTACAGTGATGAGAGCCACTGTATGAAGAGGTAGTGAGAGGCAGCACATGTCCTGGAGACTCCATCCAGTTAGTGAAGTCTGTGGAGGATCCAACAGGGAAATGGTCAGGAAAGGAAAGTGACTTGCCCCAGGTTACATTGGTGGACAGTAACAGGGGTGGAAATGCAACTGAAGTAGTGAAATGCTGGTTCTAGAAAGCCAGGAGCAAAATTATAAGTTGCTCAGTAGGTTTCATTGTGGTAGTTTATTCACAGGGCACATAACGTCTCATGTGAATGCAATGTACAAGACAGTAGATAGCCCCCAGCTTTTGCACTGAAGCTTTTTTTTTAGTATAAAGTTGTGAAAACCTGATTTTCCAAATATTGGTGTTAGGACCATGTAGATACTAAAACCTGGTGAGTGTGGAGGAAAGGTAGGAGCATAACCGAGTGTTTTTAATACTTTTTGTGTGTTTGGAAATGCTCTCCACCACTGCTTATATTATTCATTTGGATACTAATTATATCTTGCACATGTTAAGTCTGCAAAAAGAACTATGGCATGTTCCCTCCTAGTTCTGCTGCACCACGTCACAAACGTGTTCTCCCTTGGCAAAGAGGTATCATTGCAGGAATTAATATGTGGTATTAAGCAGAAAAAGCATGAAATGCAATTTGTCACTGTTTCTATTTCAGTTTCTCAACTTGTTCATCAATGACCTGGACAAGGGGACAGAGCGTACCATCAGCAAGTTCGCTAATGACACAAAACTGGGAGGAGTGGCTGACACGCCAGAAGGCTGCCCTGCCATTCAACGTGACCTGGACAGGCTGGAGAGTTGGGCAGAGAGGAACATGATGAAATTCAACAAGGGCAAGTGCCAAGTGCTGCACCCGGGGAGGTTGAACCCCAAGTACCAGTACAGGCTGGGGGCTGACCTGCTGGAAAGCAGCTCTGCTGAGAGGGACCTGGGAGTCCTGGTGGATGACAAGCTGACCATGAGCCAGCAGTGTGCCCTTGTTGCCAAGAAGGCCAATGGTACCCTGGGGTGCATTAAGAGGAGTGTGGCCAGCAGGTCGAGGGAGGTTATCCTCCCCCTCTACTCTGCCCTGGTGAGACCC